ATTTAATAAGTTACCTCCAAAATAGATATCTTGTTTTGTAATAAGAACATGACCGAAAATAACATTTATGAAAACATTAAATTCTTTAACATAAGAACATTCAAATATACATGAGCAATGTTTTCATTGTCTGAATTGCAAAATGAACATTGGTTGTTGTCAACCATGTTCATCGTTAACAATTCCGTTTTTTGTGAAAATAATTTTGTGTAGGAATTATAATTGGAATTCTAATAGTTTTGTATCTATTGTAGATTTTCTATATTGTAAAAATACATATTTCCAATTAATTTGATTGTTAAATTCTTGTTCCCACTTTTCACAAATTTCTGGAAAGTTAGATGATGAAATAAAATTATCATAAAATATCCTAGAACCTTTGATAGTCTTAAGTAAATCAAACCATTGAGAAGAAATGTTTAGTTGCATTGTGTTTAGGTTATTTGCATCATGCTAAAGATCTACCCATGGCTTATGGATGTTTAAGAGCAAACGGTTATAGTCTAATAAAGTACCTTTTATGCCATACATTACGTTCAGCTCAGGAAATGGAATAAAGTACCTTTTATGCCATACATTACTTTCAGCTCAGGAAATGGAATAAAGCCGTTCGAGTCATATAAGTCTTTTCCATGGCAAATACCCCTTGTATACCAATTTCTAATAATCAAATCCGGAAATTTACATTTATGATTGAACCACAATGGTTTCATTAAAATTTCGTTTAACATCGGTTTCGTTTATTTCATGCGTTTTTATATATTTGTTCCAAGCGTCTACTGTGTCTGTCCAAAATGGGTTTGTGATATTGAAATGTTTTTTTAATATTAGCGCCCAAACGGAAAGCCTGAAAGAGGGTATCTGTTTGGTTAAGAAATAACGATAACGTGAGTAAATAGACATTGTAATATCAACCATTCTAAGGCCACCATCTTTATATTTCCAAACCAGGTTTACTCTTTATATTTCGTCTTTTTTCCATTCCATATGAAGTTGAAACAAATGCTGCTTAATTCTTTTATAAATTCTATTTGGGAATTTGGTAAAGCAGTTAATATATGAACTATAGTTGACAAAGCCAAGGTTTTTGTTACGGCAATTTTCCCTATTAATGTCAAGTTGCATTTCTGCCAGTTTGAAAGAATTGTTTTAATTGTTTCCTTAATTGTCTTTTTCTAGTGTTGATAACCCAAAGATTTTTTTTAAATCAGCGTTTAGTTTAATTCCAAGTACATCAAAACTGCGTTGTTCCAGTCCAGTGTCAAATCTGAACATAGAGTGAGTGAACTCCCTGCCATTCGAGCCTAACCATACAGCTTTAGTTTTGTCTGTATTCATTTGTAAGCCAGACATTCTATAGAACTTACTTTGTGTGTTTACTGCTTCATTTAGAGACGTTACTCAGCCATCCAAAAATAGTTCGGTGTCATCTGCATATTGACCTATTACTTGTTCACTTTCTTCAAGGACTATACCTTTTATATTTGTTGTATTTTGTCTTATCATTATCCCTAGTATTTCTGCGACGAAAAAAATACAAATATGGGGAAATCGGATCTCCTTGTCTACACCTCTCATTTGCTGAAAAATGATGAAAAGTGACCGTTTTGTGTGACACAAGAAGTAGAGTTGGAGATCAGGATATTTACCCATGTTTCCAAAACCAAATTTATCTAGAACCTTTATAATGAATCGTTTAGAAACTGTGTCAAAGGTTTTTTTCAAAATCAATTTATATCAACAGGCCTTTCTTCTTTAGTCTTTTTATTTCGAAGATGATGTCATATAAGAGTCCAATGCTTTCGCTGATACACCTACCCGGGATAACTCCGGTCATGTTATTGTGGATACGGAGATCCAGAGTCTTTTTTATCCTATTTGTTATAATAATAATCTTATATAAAGCATTTAAAAGAGAAATCGGTCTTCAGGTTTTTAATAAACGTCTATCTTTATTTGGTTTTGGAATGCATGTTATAACTCCTCTATTCATTGTTAAACTCATAGAGTTGTTTTTGAAAGGGTCCTTGATATAGCGATAAATCCAAATGTTGACGTCTTTCTAAAAATATTTGAACATATCGATAGGAAAACCAACAAGTCCCAGGCTCTTATTTTTTTTCATTGACTTAATAGCAGCAGCTATCTCGTTGATTTTTATTTCTTTATCCAGTTCTTCTGAAAGATTGTTATTTAACATTGGAGTTGTTATGTCTTTTTTCGTAAAGGTTTTTCTGTTCGTGTATCCTTAAAGTACCATCTGTTATTTCCTCACGTTTATCAGTAATAATAGTATTGATAAGTTTATTCGTATAGTTTCTGATTTCTGAGTGGCAAAAGTAATTAGTTGGCGTCTCTCCTTCATTATACCACTGTATTCTATTACGGATGTGAATTCCTCTAATTTCTTCTTCTTTAATTATTTCGAGCTCTAATTTCCGTTCTGACCTTTTGGATACCAATGTTTTGGAAACGTTTTGAAAGTCGTTTCTTACTCGTGTTTCTAATTCCAATGTATCATTTTCTATTTTTTTATTTTTTTTCATTTTTTTTCAAGTGTGTAGAATATGTATCAGATAGTTTTTCCTCTTACTTTCATTAAAACTGTCTCTAAGAAAAGCGAATCAGTAATTGTTAGATCTAAAGTTTCTTCAGGGATATTTTTCATACCTTCATTATCATATTTAGGATCTGCGTATTCACGTTTAGTTTCGTCTAAAATAGCTATTACTATTGCTGCATATTCATCTTTTCGTAGTAACGATGTATTAAGCTTCCAATATCCTCTCCCCCTTTCTTTATTTTGATGATTGGATAGCGACAATGTAATGGAGGAGTGATCAGTTTTGTAGCCGGGTAAGATTTAAGAATGAGCCGTGCCATTGAAATGTTCTTCAGTAACCATGAAAAAAGTTTTGTCTAGCTTGTTGACGAGGGTTTGTTTTTCCACCAAGTAAATGTATTGTTGTTCGGATTTAGTTCTCTTCATGCATCTTTAGGTTTAATGATTCAGTTTTATCTAAGACTAGTTTTCTGGCATCATGATTAAAAATATTTGTTTAGTTTGATAAATCTATTGAATGATCAAAGACAAAGTTCCAATCCCCACATATTACTAAGGAATCATTACCCATGTCATCAATTTTTCAAATAATGTTTTGTAAAATAAAGGGTCATCGGAGTTTGGACCAAACACTGCGGTGAGCGTAAACTTTATGCCGTGAACAGTAATGTCTAAAATGATATAATTACCATTATCGTCAACACAAGTCTTGTGTATTTTATATTCAAAATTGTTGTTGAAGGGGATTGCTACACGTCGTGCATTTGACTTGTATGTTGCAATAGCACTATCAAAACCCCATTCATTTTTCATAAGATTTTCATTATCTTTGGAAATATGAACATCTTGCAAACAAATGATAGAGAATTTCTCTCTCGTTTGGTCTTTGCGACTAGGCCTCTACAATAAGTTGAGACTATATGTATTTTACCATTTACTCCCATGTATCATTAATCCATCTTCTCTTGAAATATAGTTACGTACCAACTGGAATGATTTTTGTTTTGCATAACGATAGAAGATGATAAAGATATATCCATTGTCGCCACAAGCTTTGGCTTTTGATAGGGAGAAGGCAACTACCTTCCCATGGATTAGCAGTAAAGTCACAATGAATACTTTTATCTATATACACCTACATATACCTACATGGACATACACCCACATATACATATATCCATAAATAAAGACATATATACACATATACATACAAACGTAAACACAACTGCCAGCACATATAGCACATGTATATGGTATTCAATATGAAGGTACGGTGTAAAGTGATGTTACTTACATATTGTGCCCGCGAATAAGTAGTTCCAAATGTCCTGACGAATATACACTGACAAAATACATTGTCACAAAATAATGTCTTGTCCTTGCCACAAAACTGCGAGAATCCATCCAACACGTGCTTGCACTCGTTGACCTCACTTCTCTCGCCTTGCGCGTTCATGCTATAAATGGCCTGTAGGTCGACGAGTACAGCTCAACACATTGAGTGTCAAACATTTCGCCTGTGTGTGGAAACCTATCTTACGAACTTGTTGAATGTCGACTATGGAAAATATTTTAGTCCACATAATATTACAAATTCTACAGTTACCATATCAAAAGACCAAGTGTTTATTTACTTATGTAGTGTCTGTGGGAAAACATCATAAGCAGTGAGTTAAATGTCATAATGTGTTCACGGCCTGTTATTGTAACACTGTCTACTAGTCAACTTTACGCCAGGAAGATCCTGTTCCTTAGTGTCTTTGGTCTCAAGGATTACTTCGGCTGAGACAACTCTTAACCTTGTCCAGATCTTGTTATCAGCGTCACGAATTGATGTTCCGAAGTGGTTAGATGCCTTCTAGTTAAACCTTTATGAATTGTGGACAAGACGTTGATCCGAGAAACGTCTCCTTTTTACCCATAAATACATGGTGACAGTAGTCCAAGAAATCAGCGAATTATATAAGGAATGAAATCTTAAATATACATGACATCAATGGGTCATTATTCAAATTTGAATTTCTAGAAGACAAAGAGAGACACAGCCTTAGATCAGTACTTCAAGACTTTTCCAATATATGAGATTAGATTTTATGGCGTTATTTTTATTTTAAAAATTCTATTGTTGCGTGACTGACGTTCATAGCGTAAAATTATGAACGACACAATTTTTACGTTCACACATTGTTCACGAAACTGTGTATTCTTGAAATCACGTAAATACTGACGTAAAGACAAACCCCGAGGATACCCCAGCACTAATAAATACAGAAGCGTTGTTTGCGACCATATAGATATTTTAATCTTGAACACACATCGGAGACGATAAATATTTACAACATTTAAAATTTACAAATAAAAATGCATATCGAAACATTAACTAACTTCGAATAAACACGCTACAGCTTAACACTGCACAAGAAATGTTCTGTATACTTCCAGCCGCTTATGTTCAATGGATAGTAAAGTTCTTTTCATATGCTATACACCGGTATTCAAATAATGGTGACTATTATAACAGTATTTGACGGACATGTGTATACTTCTGTTGCCCAAATGAATACATTGTATACAAATACAATTACATAGCCATGATGAAGAGGAAAAACTAATACAGTCAAGAGGAAAAACAGGACATCACATAGAACAAAATTTCATGAATAAATTGCTCGATAAGGCCATCATGATGTTACTGAACTTTCCTGGACGAAACAAGAAACATGTCGTATGACTCGCCTCACAACAAAGGGGTTGTTTACAAGTGCAGCTTCATGTTAGTATGAATATAATGAAGTAATGAAGCTAACATCATACAAGGTGCTCGAATATATTTATTATTTAGTTTTAGCTGATCTGACTGAAAGTCAATTGAGCTTATGTCCTGGCGCGCTGTCCATCTGTTGTTAAATTTAGACATCTCATTTTAAACTACAAGGCCATTGGATCTGAAACTGTGTGTGGATGATCCAATATATCGTGTCTCAAAAGCTCACACAATAACAACATGGTCACGGCGGCCATATTAAAACTCAGTTATTTCTGCATGTGTCGTGAAATTAGATATGCAGCAATGATGTGATTTTCGAAATACGTTTTAAGGTAATTTTTTATTTAAGCTCTGCTACAACCTTTGGCTTTCACGGACCTCCATGTTTCTGGTGTTACTGCATTTTCAGAATCTGTCTTGGCTATTATTTGGTCATCTATTTTTCAAAATGTATTATAATTGGGCGTATGTGTAGTCAGTCGTGGAGCCTAACACACAAGTTGTATTTTTGGAGTTACTTGGAATTTTATCTTGATCTAACCTGTATAGCATAGAAGTGAAAATATTCTTATGGGCAATAAAACTTAAAGCAGGTGCAAAACTGGAAAACCATTTCTTAGATTCCAACGCACCCTAATAACCTGCCACCATGCAAAGCTTCACCAAATCCATCTGCATACATGCGCAAAAAGTGGGTATTTAGTGTATGGTTGCCATTGAACCCCAACTTGACTTCGAAAAGAAAGGGCTCGTGCACCATTGAGAGAGGCTGTCAGTAGGATGGTCTAGACAATTTTTTTACCACCCAACACATTGTTGGGAGAAAATAACGAACGCGGGTCAAAACTGTTCATGGACGACGGGCCAGCGGTTTGGACAATTTGATAAGTGTGTCAGTTACCTCTTGTCTGGTCAAAGCCGATCTAGTCATTGCTTCGACTATTTACAAGGTACATTAACCTTTGTAGTTGAAAGACTTTGCACTTTTACCACGCTCTTAGAATTATTTCTAAGTCAGGTGATCTACTTTGTGCCTCTGTGTTTAACACCCGAAGCAATGACACAGGGTAAACAATGCTGAGCACATATTCAATATAAATATCAGTGTAAAACTACACAAATACGGCTTATATTTCATGGTTTACCAACAGCACCAGACGCAGTTTGTCACTTGCAATAATTCGTATGTTCGTAAATCCGTTGAAATTGTCTGCAAGCTATATCTACATGTAGGTTAAAGTATATTGTCAAGCAGCTGGACTGTCTTGGTACACAATGCTATTTAAGACAAAATAGTCGTGTGAATTAAGATTACGTCTCAGGTTCAAATTGTCGGTTAGTCAGTAATCCTGACTACGGTACCGGACGCATGGTCGATCGGCGATCCTTAGTGCAGTATTAAAGCGTATTGTTTGGTGACAAGATACGGTGTAGTATTGTAAGCTACGGGGTCGTTTCCGTTTCCGGCACAGCACAAGGTCACGAAACTGTCGCCTGAATCTCCTTGCACTGCAAGAATAGAGGTAGAAATTGACAGCGTGCGTAGAGTCACATAACACAAAGGCAATTGTATCGAGCAGATACCACGTGGCCCCCTTATGGCTGTTCTCAGGGGCCGTCCAATAAGGTGACATTATAAGGAATACACATCTTGGAGTTGTGAGAATGACCAAGGCAACTGCTGACGTCACTAGCATTATGGTCACTTGCCGTTGGCGGTTTGTCGTGATGTTGACGTTGATCACTGAGTCATCCCTGTTCAGATATTGGTGCAACCTACCCGATTTAAGTATTCCTGCAACAATCAGCACATTGAAGGTAAGAAGTAGAGTACATGGAAGAATGGCGTACATCACAACATTCATCCAGTACCAAACATCAATCATAAAGTCGATATACCTCTCGCGGATACCACAAAACGATGTGCCAGGGTAATCCATGGCAATATAATCCGTTGTCCAGAAAAGATGAAGGAACAAAAGCAAGAGCGGCACGGTTATTCCTCCTACAACAAGCAAAGACTTCCTAAACGTCCAGTTTTGGCCGACCTTCAAAGGAAACCAAACAGCAGCGAATCTTTCCACGGACAGAGCAACCAATAACCAGTTGGCAAGAGTGATGAGGAAGTTTCCACAAAAGCCAAGAAATTTGCATCCAAATGATCCTATCTCCACTCCATAATCCATGAGTACAAATATGAGGAGTTTGTTGACGATGGCCAGGTTGTCGACAATGGCGAGGAGGGCGATGTAAACAGTGAGAGACCTTGGTGGTGACATTTTGATTATTGTAAGAATCGAAAAGCAGTTCGCCGGGAATCCTAATACCAGAATCACCCATAGGTAATAAGTTTCGATGTTATAGGCCATGGCATCGATGATTTTCCAGTTGCCTTGGTCAAATGTTTTCGTCACCGATACAGTAGCGGGACAGGTTGTGTTGATTTGCGACATCTTGTTTTGCTGGGACTTACTGAACTGTTGGATGTTACCTAAAGGAAAAGAGACAAATAATTAAAATAATTGCAATCAAATGTTATTTGGGCGGGTCTATTTCTTGTCTTAGTTCAAACGTTAACCCCACTTTAGCCGTACACATTTCTTGTCATTTGGTACAGAAACAGATCAGTAATGTAAACATTTTCTGACAGAATGAAGTAAATATATATAAATAGTTGACATACTCATGATCACTCATTGAATTTGTACTACTGTTAATATGCCAGACGATGAAATGGATGAAACGGTTTTAGAATAAGCCATCTAATATGTTTTAATATATTATCTATAAAATTCCCAATGTCACCATAAAACTTGACTCATTGTGAAATACAGGCAGCTGGAAGAGCTAGAGACCTTCGGAGATAAGCAAGACTCTCACAAAGTCGTGTCTCGGTGTCCGTTACAGATTCATTACTTAACCAGACGATTTTTTTTATAAATCTGCAACGGATAAAAAGACGAACCTTTAGGCGTCGTATTGATATCAATCTAACTGCATGTATTATAGGCGACGTCGTCTGGCCCAATATCAAACGATTGTTCGAGTACACTCGTCTCATCGTTGTGGCAAGCTTAGGATGACGTTATCCTACAACTGTAGTCAAACTCCTAGGGCAAGTCCTCAGTGATGATGTTCACAATTAAACTGGTTCTTATGCGGGACATGACGGATGACATAATACTTTCACCGCGCCTGTGTGGACAATCAGCGAGGAACGCATGTACATCACTAATCGTCTCAGTTGTGGCTGTGGTTTTCGCCTTACCGCCCCGGAATTTTAGATCTCGTCACAAAGAGCGTTTGTGTTACTTTTATAAGGCATGCCATACTGTCTTAAGAGCTGGTCTCAGTGAATAATGTGGATCACGACACAAAAGAATGCCTTTGGTTAACATACTCATAGTGAAGTACGATAGTTGCAACACCATCTGTTCTTAATCTTTGCAAACGACCACGAGGTATTTCCTATAAGGATGCATACAAATGAGTATACGAATATGACGTATGCGTTTCTTATATTGCACGATGTATCCATCGTGCGTTGCGGAGGTGAAACAATCTTAACTTGACATTGTAAATACAAAAATCCAAGTTTTAAAGGATTCCAATATATGACACATACAAATGGACATATACACGTATCTATTGATAATGTCTGGTTGTTCAATATTGCCCTATGATTTATATAAAGATCACCATGTCCATTGATGTGTCCTGATACACTAATTGCTGCTATGATTTTGTATACAATAGTAATACATAATAGCAATAAAAATTCAATCGATCTGGATTATATTTTTCTCAAACGTGAATTTGAGGTGTCACCAACTTAATATGTAACTAAGGTCCAGCAGCGTTGCAACACACCTTTATGAATTTGTGGTTACATTTGGTAGCTGTATTTTCTCAAATAATGTTTATTAAACGTAAATTCAATCATGGCTTTCATCATGTTTACCACCGTGGCCATAACACATTGTTACAATACATCATCATGCTTTATTTGCTCCATTCCGATATACTGAGTTGAGTTTGAGTGAGTTGGGTTCAACACCACTTTGGACGGTATACCAGTTACATCACGCGCAGTTATATTGAGAATAATGGGGCACAAAACAATGGGGCACAAAGGCGTCTCAGAAAATAACTGGCTATTTCCTTTGACCACAGGCTGCAACTTGAGCCCGCATTCACACACTTCATTTACTTTAAGCTTTCTAAATATCCTCAGCGGAATATGTCACAGTCTTAGTAGATCTGTATCCATCATGATACAATGTCCTCTTTTGCGAATAAAACAGATTATTACACGTATGCCTTAAATAACTATTATGGAGAAGCGTGGGAAATGATTGGGAACAGTGCATATAGTGGCCAAATTTAATGCACGTATTCGCGGAAAATGCTGAAACATATGGTTGCATTATTTTGTTAATCATGCATCGCCGTGGGTCGCCATATTATAAGCGAACAAATGGCACTGAATGGGCATGATTAGGTCGGAGAAATCACTCTGAAAGGTAGATGTTAACAATTTAATAAGCGTGATTCCATACTGCTGGCTTTAAAAAACTCATCACCCGAGGATTGGCATCACGGAAACTACTCATCAAAACGTAATGAACATAAATGAACATAATTATTGGAACATAATGAGTACGGCGTCATAGCGTCAGACAAGCTTTGGCCTCACACCATGTTCAGTGACGAATAGATTCCTTCTCGACGTTCCAGGTGGCCGTGTTTGAAGATTTGCTCATTAGGGATACCAACTGTGTTCTATAGCGCAGCTCACATACAGACCTAATCCGTCTTGATGGTCTCCTCACAGGAGTTAGTTACCGTGATAACATTTTGAGGCCCGTCGTGGTGTTCTTTGCGTGTAGGACATGTGGTAGGTTTTATATTAATAGCTCGTGTGTCAATGGACATTTCCTACGAAAGGGAACATCCGGGGACTGCCTTGACCAGATAATAGTGCTGACCTCAAGCCTGATGAACAGCTGAGGGGAAGATTTGGATGTCGTGTGCATCAACGCGCCGAAGCTTCACAATCTGAGCCAACGTTTTGAAGCTCTGCAAGATGTGCTGATCCTGAACCCAATGGCTACGACATCGAACCTCACCCAGAGTATGTCTGACATATGTCCTGGTCCACAGGGGAACAATTGTAATAAACATCCACTCTACATTCTCGATGTAACATAAGTATGCGTATGTGTATGCCTAGGCTGAATCAATAAGTAACCGAACCTAACACTATGTTATCAGTCATAAAACGAGGACCAGTGACAGTATTCTATCGGAATAAGTGTGACAACACTCCTGTCTTACAGAACAGCAAAATAGCGCATCCGTGTTTCAAGGTTACAGTTCCTACAAACGGCACATTTTACCCTCTCTTGAGACACACAGCCGGTGCACACATCTTTGTAAACCTCTAGGGCCATGCATCTAGATCTCGAGCAGCACAGTTGTGTGAAGAGTATCGGGAGGAGTACATGTACATTGATATCCTTGTACAAAACGTGATCAAAATGTCCATTGGACCTGAGCCTTCAGCTGCACTCTTATTTTGTTGTTTGCTATACTCCATTAAGCGTGGGAGGTCGGGTAGCCTAGTGGTTAAAGCGTTCGCTCGTTACGCCGAAGACACGGGTACGGCTCCCAACATGGGTACAATGTGTAAAGCCCGTTTCTTGTGTCCCCCGCCGTGATATTGCTGGAATGGTGCTAAGAGCGGCGTAAAACCATACTCACCCACTCACTCCATGTTAATTGTAAAACAATATTAATTGGAAAACGTTCAACAAGAAAATGCATGGCTTTACATTGATCTTTATTTAAATTGTTTCTTCTCATTATAGATAAAGCCGCATTGCTAGTATTTGTATTAAAGTACACATTGCGTTGATATAGCATGTGACGTCAAGTTTCAGAATTTCATAAAAACTACGTATACATTACTCCGAACTCCTCCGAAAAAAATTGATTATGGTTCTGCAGCATGTATTCCATGTGGGTTGTCATAAGGTGAATATACAGACTAACTGTACTGTAAGTAACATCTTCTTAATTAAGGTCAATTTAGTAAGTAAGGTGTTTTTCTCTACTTTCCGTGGAGCTGCAGTACCTAATTTTCAAATCATATTTAATGATTTGTCCACACTAATCTCAGTAAGACGGGGATTGATCCATTAATGGACCACATGGTATCCTTGTTGGATGGGATTTAGTCGTCAGGGTTTTATAAGTGGTTATAAGGACATCTAGTGAAGATATTTTGTTTGTTTGGTTAACGCCGCACTCAGCAATATTCCAGCTGTATGGCGGCCGTCTGTAAATAATCGATTCTGGACCAGAGAATCCAGCGATTGATGTCATGAACATCAATCCACGCAGTTGGGAAACAATGTCATGCATCAACCAAATCAGTCTGCAAATAAATTCACTAACAACATATATATCGTGTATGATTCTTTTTATGGAGTCACATGAGTAATGAAATAGTCAGTGAAATCTCAGGCAATTAAGAGATGTATTGGCCTGAACCAGGACACCATGTATGGGCCTGAACCAGGACACCATGTATGGGCCTGAACCAGGACACCATGTATGGGCCTGAACCAGGACACCATGTATGGGCCTGAACAAGGGCACCATGTATGGGCCTGAACCAGGACACCATGTATGGGCCTGAACCAGGACACCATGTATGGGCCTGAACCAGGACACTATGTATGGGCCTGAACCAGGACACCATGTATGGGCCTGAACCAGGACACTATGTATTGGCCTGAACCAGGACACCATACATTGGCCTAAACCAGGACACCATGTATGGGCCTGAACCAGGACACCATACATTGGCCTGAACAAGGGCACCATGTATGGGCCTGAACAAGGGCACCATGTATGGGCCTGAACCAGGACATCATGTATGGGCCTGATCCAGGACACCATGTATTGGCCTGAACCAGGACACCATGTATGGGCCTGAACCAGGACACCATACATTGGCCTGAACCAGGACACCATGTATGGGCCTGAACCAGGACACCATGTATTGGCCTGAACAAGGACACCATACATTGGCCTAAACCAGGACACCATGTATGGGCCTGAACCAGGACATCATTTATGGGCCTGAACCAGGACACCATGTATGGGCCTGAACCAGGACATTATCTATGGGCCTGAACCAGGACACCATGTATGGGCCTGAACCAGAACACCATACATTGGCCTAAATCAGGACACCATGTATGGGCCTGAACCAGGACACTATGTATTGGCCTGAACCAGGACACCATGTATGGGC